TTTTTGAATTAAGCAAATAAAATATTTTTGTTAGACATTAAAATGAAATCCATTTAAATAAATACAACCTTAATATATCTCATAGATTATAACTTACATTTAATTAAAAGCTCTTAAACTTAAACAGTAAAATTCCCCATAGAGAATATGAGCTTTAGCTAGCTGCCGATGCATTGTAGCAATTATGTTTTCTGTCTGTAACACTGTGACTGGAAGACTTATGCTATGTCTACAAAACTCTGCCATGAAGTACTTACAAATACTTGGTGAAAAACTTGAGGTCAGCTAGCAATAAAGCTTTGTGTGAAATGCCATTAAAAAACCTATTAACCATGGTACCAGTATACTGAAGTCAAGCTGTTAAAATACATTCATGTAAACACAAAAAAGATTATACATGTGCTCTATAGAGTTCTGTGGTTTGACTCTTGAAATCCAAGTAAAAGTTATATTATCCTTAGAGGAAAATTCTGAAATAGAGCAGTGCTTTCTAAGGACTTGTTCCTCTAAGAGCATGGAATGTCAGTAACTCTATTAGGTTGGTCTGCTAGGGTGAAAGAAAGCAGATGATGGCTTTGGAGCCAGACGCCGCCTGCACAATGGCACAGGTACCCCCCACCCCCACCCCGCCAGTCCCACATGCCACAAAGAAACCTTTCTGGTTTGCAGTAATTACAGCTGTTGCAATTCTCTAATAATACATGTGGTGGGTGGGGGTGGTGACAGGAAAGAGGATGAAGAGGTAATTTTGGAGGGTGAATAAACAAAGAGGAACAGCAGGAACCGTGAGCTAGAAGAGATCAGTGCCCAGGACTTGGCAGCCAGCCAAGTGGCTGGAAAAAAAAATCACCTACCTCTCTGTACAGTAGAGAGACTTGGCGTGAAATGTTAACAGTATGGGGACCAACCAGATATACTGACAGGACGAGAGGTAGACTGATGTAGAGGGAGAGACTCTGTTGGCAGAAAAATTTAACCTCAAAGGCCTTGGTAGTCAGTACCCCTCTGCTTTAAGCCAATATTAGAAAACACTATGAATATGAGTTGCTCAATTGTGAGAATATCTCTTTCAGTAAAAAAGAAAGCAAATAATCGTAACTCCCATTTTGTACTTTTTTTGTTTACTTAGGTTGCATTTAGTACAAAATGGGACTATAACACGAGGATCATAGGTAATAGAATTATATTGTATTAGGGATTTGTGTTACATATGTAGATTTTAGCAGCTTTTGTTGCAAAAATAACTTAAATGATATTTTAGTTTGCTTTATAGATACCGTTTTACTACTCATAAGTATATCATAACAATATTGTAAGCCTCAAACATGCACAATAACATTTATTTTTAAAGAAAATTTATGGTATTTATCAAATGAGCATATTACTTACGTGTAGGTTTTCTTCTCAATCCCTGCTTATTATGGTATAATGATAGCTCTTTGGTCATTGCCGGGTTCGGGGTACAATGGAAAACACAGGATTAAATTGGGTAAAATGCTTCTGCTTTTTGCCATTCTGGAGGCAAATCCGATCAAATACCTGGGAGGTAATTGAGGAAGGGATCCTAATCTAAATGTAACGATGGGCATATTTGTAATATGTACACTCAGCAAGGTTCCCCTCAACATAAAAATAAGAGTTTAGTTAGTCCACTTCTCTAACTTATTGGCAAAATGTTTGTGTGAGCAGGGGGAGTAGAAGGTGTACGTGAGGTGCTTTAGAGTTAATAGTAGGCCAGTGTCAGTCAGAGGGCCTGATACCTAGCAAGCGCTTAGTAAGTTTTGTGCTGGCTCCTGAGGAGAAAGTGTGCTACACGGTAGTTGTGGTAGTGCATTTAATTTTGCAGCCAAAGCAGTACAGAGCAGCTCTGTGCTTGAGACGTATATGCAAACTTTATAGGATTGATATGTTTATATTGCTGTGATTGACATATGTGATATTTATTTTAGTTATCAAGTAGAACGCATTGCACCTAACGGTTGAGTTTTTGGTGAAATATTCTGAAATGATGGTCTAAAATGCTTAAAAAAAAAAAAAAAAAAGGTGTATGAACCTATGATAGGAACTATTAGAGTTCTTTGTCCATTTGTGGAATATTCTCCCTGAAACTAAAATCAGAGAATTTAAAGTGAATGCCATGGTCTTTAATTAATAGAATCAAGTAGACTTAATATGAGTTGATATTGCTAATTTACAATGAGGGTTTTTCTTTTTAATTTTCTAAACCAGGAAAAAGAAAAAGCAATAGATTTAACTGAGCATGGAGACACCATCTGTTAGTTGCTTCCTTAATGTCTTCCCTGACTGCTTCTCTCTACCCTCCGATTTCAGAGCCTTGTGACAAACCCTCCACCTGTAATTATGCATTAAGAAAGTGGTGGGATATGCTTATATCAGTTTTATTTTTTTAAATAAGGAATTTATTTAGAAGCCCACACAGATCTATACTAATACTGAGTGTTTTTACCCTACTCCTGGACTAAGATTTTATATAGTCCCAATATTGAGCAGTTCGCTTCCTACTTTAACTTTGTTTTTGGCTAGAGAAGCTCAGCTACCTAGCTAATTTAACACCATTATTTATTAAAAGGTCTGCAATGTGGGAGGGAGTCTCTACATGCTCTACACTGACTCACTCATTTCTTTATAAATTCTTTCTCCACTTAACTGAGGGGTGCTGTGGAGTGAAGCAGACATAGGTGTGAACTTGGTGAGCCTGTGTGTAACACTTCTTAATCACGACTTCTAGTTTAATTTGTGCCGAATGAAGCAATAAACCAGGGTTTCGTGTAAAATGAGAGTGTGAGCAGTTTCAGATAGGCAGGTTTTAGAAACTCCAGGTAAATCTCAGGAAGTTGTAGAAAATAGTTATTACTGAGTCTGGCCTTATTCATCTCAAATACTATGAACAATGAGAAACTACTTGATTTAGTGGTTAAACTGCTGAGGCAGTATTTCCAGAGATTCATTTGTGCAAACAGCAGTAAAAGTGCGTTCTGTCATACAGTGTGAACAGTTTCTTCCCATTCTCTTTTCCTAGCGCAAAGCTTATCTTTAATGCAAACTGTATAAAGATGTTAGCTGAAGGTTTTATTATGTGCTCCTTTAAAACATATGCAGTGGTCACTGCAAGGTTGGCATAACAACTTTAGGGGCCTAATATTGAATAGACTTATTCTTTTTAGTTATAGTTTGTAAAAGGGCAAGGTGTTTAATCATTTTCTTGAACTTGACAATTAGAGTTAGTTGCAGTTTCTGTGTTTGTGCTTTTATAACACATTAGAGTTAGGCATTGATCTCACTTTCCTATATGACAAAAGTTCTTTCTCATTTGTTTATGCCTTAACTCACTTACTTAGTTGAAAAGTTAAGTGTCTGGGTGGGATAAGATAGAGATACAGGAAATTAATTACAACTTGGGAAAGTTAAATAGGAAAGGGCCGTAAAATTAAGGTAAGAATAACCCAGCTCTGCACAAATAGTATTTTAGGGAGACAGTTTAGTGAAGAGATGCTGGATACAAAAAAGAGTTTTCTTCTTTTTTTATGAGATAGAAAAAAGAGCTCTAACTATTGCACATATCCTCTGTTTATATAAATGTCTTGTGGCCTTTTTTATTTAAAAAGAGTTTGATAAGATCCCCTAGAGTTTATATTAATAGTTGATACAGTACTTCTGTATTTATGTTGATGCATAGTAGACGGAATGTGAGCAATATGGTACTAATTTCTCCTGAGTAGTTTTTCTTTTCTGATGTAACAGTAGATGCTGGATATTGCTCCCTCCAAACATAAAGGCAAGTGGCTTCTTGCAGCTGAGACTGACCAGGAGAAAACAGATGTTTTCTCCCCTGCAGATGGTGTGGAGGGGCGGGGTTGGCTCTGTCCTTGTTATTCCTCTTTACTTGTGTCAGGTTCAGCCTAAGCATGTGTGATAGGAACTCAGGCTATGTGATAGAATTCCTTTGTGGGATCGAAGGCACTGCACAGGCTGGTGTCTTCCTCATGGCTCAGGCCATTCAAAGTCCCTCTCACCATGTGGAGTCACTGAAATAGAGCACCGGGAGAGGCAGGACCGCTTCTAGAGAGTTCAACACTACTAGGATGGGGTGAAGCCTTAGAATTCCTTTCTTCCTAGTGCCCAAGGCAAAGAGCTTTGATGGTACATTTCTGGTGACAGAAAAATCCATTGAGCTTCCTGGTCGGTGCCATTTGGAATTTACAATCCAGGGAATGTTCTGGCGATATGTATTATTTGAATTCTTTGAACTATTTAAATGTGACTGCTGAACTTTCTTTGGAGAAAATGTTTCTAACAACTACAAGTGACAATCGCACTCACATCCCGGAAAGGATAAAGGTGTAAGGCGCCAAGGCTCTTCATTCCTTCCCGGTCTTTTCAGTGAGCCAGCTGTCCCCACCAGGACTTCCTGTTCCTGTGGGTGGGGTGGGGCTGAGCTCTTGTCCCACTGGTGCCGTGGGTAGCGATTGTTACTGCATTCTGAATAGGCTGTGAACACTGCTGTGAGAATAGCCAACCTTCTTTCAGACAGATTATGAAGAATCCCGGAGGAAGCTCAGTTCCTTGTGGGATACAGAATATCTAAGCATCTGCTTACACATAGAACAATAATTAATTACTTTTCTAGATGGTCTGGTGAAATAAATGGTCTTAATTTCTATTTTTAAATTGCCATCTTTCCAGATTATAATGTGTACATGATTCCTTGCTTCATGTTAAGGACTTTGATGTTTTGTGAAACTTATTGAAGAGTTTTCCTAACTTGTTTCTATAATCACAAATGGGACTTGTTTTTCTTGTTGTTGATATAAAGCAACAGGTTTTGAAGACAGAATCATGTGTAGTGTGACCACACTTCACGTGGAGAGCTTCGAATCCTCCTTTGTGTGTATAAATGTGATCAGCCTTGCTGTCGATTTCTTCTGCCATACTCTGCCAAATCTTTCATTTAAGTATTGTGAAAACTTTGTTTTTTTCAGGTCGAATGAGTGATTTGAGTGTAAGTGGTCATCCAATAGATTCAGAATCTAAAGAAGATGAACCATGTAGTGAAGAGACAGATCCAATGCAAAGTCTGCTTGAAGGACTTTTTACTGACATAATCGAACTAGGCATATACAACAATGAGGAGGATGAAGGGGAGGTGGAGGATTGTGCAAATGCTACTGATGTGACCACCACCCCATCTGTACAGTACATCAATGGGAAACACCTTCTCACCACTGTGCCCAAAGACCCAGAGGCGGAAGAAGCTAGGCGTGGCCAGTATGAAAGTGTGGCACCTTCTCAAAACTTCTCAGAAAGCTCTGACAGTGACACCCGTCCGTTTGTAATACCAGAAGCAGAACTGTCTACTGCTCTGCAACCTAATGAATCTAAAGAATCTGCTGAATTGCTGAAAATTACATGGAAACCTGAGACTTACCCCAAAATGTCAGAAACTTTTTCAAGTGGTGAGCCTGATATTTTCCCTACAGCCCCATTCCATGGGGGGAAAAGCCCAGCGGGGACAGAGTCGGTCACAGAGAGAGGCCCTGGACTTGAAAATCTGGTGCATGGAAATCCTAAGCCCATGCCTCTGTTTCCTGAAGAGTCTTCTGGACAGGCTGCCATTGACCACGTATCTCAGAAAGTGGGGTTTTCAGGAGCAGCAGAAGTACTATCGGGTGAAGAGGCAGGAAAGAGCACTGCTATCATGTATATTCCAAGTGGTATAGTTCCAAGTTCTCTGTATCCTGTGTCAGAGGAAGGCTCAATCACCGTGACAGGAAATCCACAGCCTGACGGCCTATCATCTACCACAGAAAGCTGGTTTGATATAACCCCTAGACAAACTGCAGAGCATTCAGGGAGTTCTGTACTTCCATTTCTAGAGGGCTCTGGGGAAGTAGAAGAATACAAAGATAAAATGTTCACTATGGCAACTAATTTACCACAGAGAAATGCTACAGATACACTCATTACTTTAGAAACTAGCAAGGTCATGGTCACAGAAGGCTTTTCTGATGTTGCTGCGACCACCATTTATTCCAGTTCTGAGAATCCTTCCACAGAAGTAGTGTCTCCCAAATTTCTAAGTGAAACAGATACTTCCACATGGGTTTTCAGTACAGCTCTTGAGGGAAAGGAGAAGAAAGAAGTGGAAGAGGAAGAGGGAACTACTGGTATGGCTTCTACAGTGGAGTTACTGTCACCAACACAGAGATCAGACCAATTCATTTCTGCCCCTGAATTAGAAAGTTTGTATGTAGCTGCCTCTAGTGATTCAGCCATCAGGAAAAACTTTCTGCCCTTGACAACACCCACACAGTCTGGAAATGCAGTGACAAGCTCTGCCCTTCTCTTTGCCGAGACAGAGGTTTTCATTAATTCGGGGGCACAGCCCTTTGAGCCCAGCATTAGCAGCCATGCTGGGGTCCAGGAAGGGCCAACCACTCTCTCAGGTAGTCTTGTCTCTCTCCTTATGGAGCAGGGCTCGGGGGAAGCTGCTGTGGACCCAGAAACCACTACTCTTTCTTCATTTTCATTAAATTTAGAGTCTGAAATTCAAGCCAGAATGGCAGCTGCAAGTACTTTGTCTCCCCACGTAGAAACCACATCCTCCTCTGAAGCAACAGGGCAGGTTTTGACCACTGTAACGGACAGAGACATTGCTGAAAGTACAAGCCACTCATACCAGGGAAAACTGATTTCAGGACCATCAGAAGAACCAAGTCACGGGGCAGACATAAAGGGCTTTCCTACAGGTTTTCCTCTGGAGGAGGATTTCAGTGGTGACTTTACAGAGTACTCCACAGTGTCTCATCCCATCACCAGAGAAACATTGATGACAGAAGGCTCCGGAGACATGGCCTTCACAAATATCCAGATTTTACCATCTACAGTGTCTCCTTCAGAGCACACCCATCACGTGCAGGATGCAGAACAGGCCAGCAGCACTATGGTCAGCACCTCAGCCTCCCTCTGGGAAGAGTTCATAGCCTCAGCTGAGGGCTCAGGGGAGCAGCTGGTCATGGCCAGCAGCTCTGCTGACCCAGTACTTCCCACTGCTCTGGAAAACTTCTCTGGTACAGATTTCCCATTTATTGACCAAAGATTGGAAGAAATGAGTGTCACTCACGAAGCAAATCCAAGAGCCACCATTTTACCTAGAGCAGAAGTGGAGAGTACTTTAGAGCCAACAGGAAAGGATGAAGTAAAGGTCAGTGGAACAGTTTTAATGGACTTTCTCCAAACAGTGGAGCCAGCCAAGTTATGGTCTAGGCAAGAAGTCGATCTCCTGAGACAAGGGATTGAAAGTCAAACAGCCTCAGGGGAAAAGATTCAAGAACATGCATCTTTTGGATCAGCCCATAGCTCTCTTGCACCAGAACAAACAGCTTCTGATTCACAAACACTTACTGAAACTGAACTCCAAACCACAGATTATTCTACAAAGAAAACTTACAGCACTGATAAGCAAATGGAGGAGGAAGGCATTTCCTTAGCTCCCTTGTCTACTCCAGAGCCAGATACAAAGGGCTTGGAAGCATATACTGCTCTCCCCAAGGCTACTGAAAAGTCAGATTTTTACTCAGCTTCTGCCTTTGTGACTGAATTGACACCAGCTGAAGATGTAGGCACAGATTCATTAATTAAAGAAGAAGAAGAAGAAAGGGTAAAACTCTTTCCCAAAGTTGTGAGACCATATATTAATGAGTTGGGTACTGATCTCTTATTTTCTGGACTGGGATCAGGAGAAGAAGTTTTGCCCACTCTGCCTTCAGTGTCAGTGAGTTTTACTGAAATAGAACAAATCGTTAGCACATTACATCCCCAGACTCCTCAAGTGGAAAGTTTAAACACAAGTGAAAAAATAGATGATGAGAAAATGGAAAATGAAGTTAGATCTGTCATTTTTGAAACAGACAACATCAAATTTGACGAGGCAGCAGCCAACACAACCTTACTAGATGTTTTAGTAGGCGCTGGCGCAAAAGGATGGACTCCAGCATCCTTCTCTTCCACCACAGATGTTGAGCAGCCTCTCAATAAGACCCTAAGATGGTCAGAAGAAATCCAGACTCAGAGACCACAGGATGTGACTGAGCAAGTCTCTCGTGAGAATTCCTCGGCAGCAGAAATGGAAGACACAGCAACTTCTTCCACTGTTTTTCTAGCTAGAACTCATGGTCTTGAAATGGCCAAAGAATCTGTTACATTGGCACCAAAGCCATCTGACTTGCTTTATGAAAATTCTGGAGAGGGATCTGCAGAATTAGATCCTCTTGATTTAGTCCACATTTCTGGAACTACTCAGGCCACCAGGCAAGGAAGCACCACATTTGTTTCTGATAGATTGCTGGAAAAGCATCCAGAAGTCCCAGGTGCTGAAGCTAGAACTGCCCGTGGGTCACCCACAGTGTTCACGGCGCCACCTCTCCACTCGGAGCAGAATGAAACCACCCCTGACCCAACCAGCACGCCGGCAGACATGACAGCATCCTCCAAGAGGCACTCAGAAGATGGCGCAGGCAGTTTCCAAGACCGTCTTGCAGGATTTGAGGATTCCACCTTGAAACCTAACAGAAGAAAAGCCACCGAAAATATTATTATCGATCTGGACAAGGAGGATTTCATGTTGACCATGACAGAGAGTCCCATCCTGGACATTCTCCCTGGGCTGACAGATACAACCACTATCATAGATATCGATCACACAAAACTTGTAGATGAAGACATCCTTGGAATGCAGACAGACATAGACCCAGAGGCACCAGCAGAGCCACGTGGTGAAGAAAGCACTCAAGCCGTCCAAGCCTGGAATCAGCATGAGGCAGCCGTTAACCGTTCCTTAACCGAGGAAGCATTTGAGGGCTCTGGTGAGCCTCTTCTGGCTGAGTACACTCAGGCAGCACATAACAAACCAGCAGCTTCTGAGGACAGAAGCCAATTGCATCACATGGGGTTTAATGCTGCAACTGAAACTCCTGTTCCTAGCATGGGAGCAGAATCAGATATTCTACTTCCCATGGTCACAGCCCTGCCCATGCCTGGTAAGTCTGCCACAGTTCATCCAGAGATCCGAGAACCAAAGATGGAAACAAAAGGCCTGGATGACATATTTGAATCAAGCACATTGTCTGACAGTCAAGCTATTGGAGACCAAAGTGAAGTAATATCAACATTGGGTCATTTGGAAAGGACTCGGGAGGAGGATGAAGAGAAGAAATATGTAGGTCCTTCTTTTCAGCCAGAATTGTCTTCAGGGGCCGAGGAGTTACTGATGGACCTCACTCCCTATGTAAGTATCAGTAATGTCCACCTCATGGCTCAGAGCTTAACAGAAGCACCTGATGTGCTGGGAGGACCCAGCCCCTCGGTCGCTCTTTCAGCATCTGAAGTGCTGTCCTCTCAGACAGCATCCTCTCCAGTATCTGTCTCCCTGGGCAGTGGGGCATCTGAATATGCAGAGGTTCCCCAGCCAAGTGCTCTGCCAGGTACAGATGCCAACTCCACGCCAAGGTCTCCGGGGCATTCTTGGAATGAGGTTCATACAGTTTTTGAAGCCACTTCCAAACCAGTGAGTGAAGAACACTTACATGTAACTGAGCCTCTGGCTTCCTCTCCTGACACTGAACTTTCAGAAGATGAAAGTGAACCCAAGTTGTTAGAAGAAGTGGAAACTTCTCCCACAGAACTAATTCCTGAGGAAGTGACTGAGGCTTCCCAAGATCCCAGAAACAAAAACAGTGGTCAGTTTTCCAGAGAAACGATGGAGGTGTTTCCCAGTATTAGAACCCTTGGAGTTGGAACTGTTCCTACAGCTGCCAGGGAGAGTAAGTTAGAAGGTGCTATGCAGCGGCCACATTCTTCTTCTGCTTCTGTGCTTTCCAGGGTTGAGGCTGGTATGGTGTCTCAGCCCAGCCCACAGACCTCCACAAGCCCCACCATTGCTTCTTATTTGGAAATAAACCCTGAAACACACACAACAGCTTTAATCCAAGGGGAGGATTCCACAGTCGCAGCACCAGAAAAGGAACCACCTGTGAGAATTCTTGATTCTCATGATCAGGCTGCAGGAAGCAGTGTGGGATTAAGCAGTGAGCTTGTCACACCACCATTTTCCCTTCTGGAAACTTCTAAGGAAACTCATTTTCTGCTTGGCGTTCATGAAGAGGCCATGGAAGGGACAGCAGTCTACCTACCAGGTAAGATCACAACACTGATAAATCGGTTCCAGATCTGGAAACGGTCCCTTCATGCTAATGCCTATGATTTTTATTGTGATGTTAAAGCAGTGGAGATTTTTATATTGTTCATGGAACAGCAGGCTGGTACTGGGCTTATTACGAACTGATGAAAACAAGAACAGAGTTTCTCTGGGCTTTATTTTGTATTTTTCTGTGCTTTAGAAACAACATACAGTTGTAAAATGGATAAAATGAAACAAGGCTAAAAAGTCAATGTGTTTTTGCTCACAGCTAAAGTATTACTTTGCCATAGGTCATACACTTACACGTCTTAGTTTTAAAAGTGAAAAAAAATCCTATTTTCTTTTTAAAACCTTGCCATTGATGGATTCTACTATGGCAGTTATCAAAATTTGCCATGCCTTTGACATTTGAGAGTAGTAACTAGTTTTAATAAACATTTTATAGCGTGGGAAATATCAATTATCAGCTTATATTCTAAGGTAATTTCCATGTTTGAGAGAGTCTCCATATTATATTGAACCCAGCACCTAGCCACAATGGGTTTTTGTTTAGTATACATTCATATTCTGTCCTTTGAAGGATTTCTGTTTATTTGTTGAATATACCAAAAGCATGAGTTTGATACTGTATCACATAGACCTCTTCATTGGGTCTTCTCAGAAGGCTGTAAAGCACGATTATTAGAGCCAGGTAAAAGCATAGGACGTGGCAATTCCAAGAGGGTCAGTAACTGATCCAGGGTTGCACTGCCAGACCATGGCAAATGTGGAATTGGAACCCAGAACCGCCCCTCTCTGAAGTCTACGGTCTTTTTACTGCCTTTTCCTGGTTTCCTCTACTTTCTACAACTGAACAATTGACATTTAATGATATGTAAACCAAAACCTTGGAGTACAAGCTATGTAGTCACTTCCTTTTTAATCAAGCTGGAGGATGTTGGGAGTCAGCTTTTATAGTGTTTATCTGGAGTCTTTATTTGAATAACTCTGTCAGTGGAACCCACAAACAGCCATCACCACTTAGCTGCTATCTAGAAAAAGAAAGAAAATCAGTACTTTCAGGGCTGTGTTGCTTCAAAATAAATGTTGTATTTTAATAAATATGTTGTATGTCATGGCTATTGTTAGAATTGTTATTCTGATCATACCAATTTCATTTTTTGTGCTACTGATACTTTATCTTGAGCTTCAGAAAGAGTAAAATAGTCAGAAAGTACAATTTTTTATAAATGGATTGGAATATTTTGTAAATAAAATTGATCAAAGGTGGTTGACACTGTATTTGTTTTGCTATCATTCTATATTTAATGTGTAACCGATAACCTAGTGATCTGTTCAATATTTACTGTTTTGTAATTAGGTTGAAATGTGCTTTGGGTTGTTGAAAATATGATATAGAAATAACTGATCCGAGAGAGAGAGAGAGAGAGAGAGAGAGAGAGAGAGAGATTTGACAACTGAGTGAGCAATGCGTTCCAGTCATCCAGTCCACAGAGTTTACCAGAAATTTGAATTTGTGTCTTCATTGCAAAACAAATTGTCACTGTAGCTTAATTCAGTAAACAGCAGCTCACATGGGATTCCCCGGTTTATCTTGTGGAGCAGACTTTCAGAGGCTCATACAAACTATTTAGGGAAAAATAAAATTTCTTAAGAGCAACTCTTCTCATGAGAGAGCCCCTTCAAGTTCACAGGAAGACCCACTTTCTCAACAAGCCCGGGTCCTGGTCTCTGCTGGGGGGTCTTGCGTCTGTGGTGGGGCAGCCCAAGACTTCACGTGTGTAGCATCCCACAGTCTTACAGAATGCTGTCCCGGAAGTGTCATTTGATTCACCACAGACAGAGTTGTGTCCTTGACCACTACCTTGTCCCCGGGGCAATGTACTTTCTCATGGAGAAAGCTAAGATTGCAAAGGAGTTTAAATTATTTTTGAATCCACAGGAGAAAATGCCTTAGAAAAATTGGGTTAATTTTTGAAGAAGTTGATATATGCATCCAGATTTACCTAATTTTAATGTGAACCCTAAAAGCTAATGTGTCCACCAAATACGTCTTTTAGGTTGCCCAGAGTTTACTTAGCACTCAGAAAGTTTTGGTCTGACTTTCCTGAGTAGGAATGGCTAAGTTATCTTCTATACCAGATAGACATTTTCTTTTCATGTGTATTTCAGGATTTCAGGACTTAAGATGCTTGAAAATAAGGTTGTATGCCATATATAATCCACTTTAATGCAACTATTTCGTAGAACTTTTAATTGTCAATTGAATTCTTGACGACTTTGAGAGTTGAACCGTTTTGAAAAATATTCAAAGAATAAATATAGACTGATTGAAAATATACTTACCCAGGCAATATTTCAAAATGAAATGCACACTTCAAATGGTGTACAAGAATTTGCATTATAGGATATACATTTTTCAACTATTTGTCTTCATAGATTCATGTCTGGCCTTTACAGTGGTCTCTAAGAAGGGCTCATTTTATTTCTCATTTTATTTCTCATTTATTTCTGTTTTAATAAAAACTGGGGGTTTCATTTTAGGTGAAGTTTTTTGTATTTGGGTGTGCTTTTATGCCGGAGAGTTTAATTGATGTGTTGCTTTTCTTTAAGTATAGTTTAAAGGAGTACATTTGGAACGTGTTTTTGGAAAAAGCATGTTAATGTAGCAGAGGAGACTTCAGTGCACACACTGGAAGAAAAAGTTTCTGAGCATTAAGTGGTAAAAGGCAATAATAATCCAAATGATGGTAACAAGCCAATCTGCTAAAAAGAATGCATGTTCTGTGTATCCAGCCATTCCACATGAACTAACCCTGTTTAAAAGAATACATTCTCCATCACTGTGCACATATGTGTAATCATGTTTGACTAAAATCAGTTGTCATTATCATGCTGACTAAATCTGCTGTAGAATATATTAGTTGCCAGATACAGTATAAAAATATTGTTTAAGCATAATGATTTAAACCTAGAAGTGAATAGATGCAATTTGTAACATTTAGTTATAATGCCAAGAAACACTCCAGAGTAAAGATAATGTTGAATTTTCTACGTAGTATTTCTAAATTGCCATGGTAAAGCTCATACTGTGGTAGCAACAAGTGGCATTTTATGCTAAAATGCAATGAAACCTTATAGATGAGCCTAATTGGTTTTTTGTTCTTACTTTCCTGAACACGGCAGGACTTGATCAGTGTAAAACCAACCCGTGCCTGAATGGAGGCACCTGTTACCCTACGGAAACGTCCTACGTGTGCACCTGTGTGCCAGGCTACGGTGGAGGCCAGTGTGAACTTGGTAAGACCTTCTTGGCCAACGGAGCCGGGTCCTTTCTGGAAGCTGAACTTAGTGGGGAGAAACCCACGTGGAAAACCATGTGTGCACGAGCCGTGTGTTAAAGGAAGTTAGAATCTGATCGCTGAGGGCTGGAAAAGGGGACACGTGTTTCCTGAAGTCTCTTAATACAACCAAGACTGGGTGCGGCTTCCTGAGCCCACTTGCGTCTTTTGGGGGTTTTGCCTAGAGAGTGATGGATCGATATTAATTAAAAAGTTTTCATCGATCCTTAATTTCTGCATATCTATACATAGTCCATTGAAGTGCAGTTTTTCTTCTCAGAAAATTGTATTTGCATAGGGAAATAAAGTTGGGGAATTTAGTTCTTCTGTTTTGGATGACCCCAGTCTCTGGTGTGGAGTAAGCCAGGCCTTCACCTGCTTCTCTGCACATCCACTCAAAACTGTCTCCGCCTCAAGGAATTGCACTGTTATTGTCTACGTCCTCTTTTGATTTCCAAGGAAGCAAACTGGCTTTTTACTACATCAGTTCATTTTACTCCTATGTTCTTTTAAAAATCTTTTCCTTTTCTTTAAAAACACTCTCGGTTTTGATTTGGGTAAGTACCAACCTCACTTGCCAGTTGCCAGGGCAGTGGTTCCCATGGCAGCATGGTCCCCGGATCAGAAACATCAGCATCACTGAGAAGGTTAGCAGTGCACCTTCACTTCCCAGCTCAGATCTCCAGAAACAGGTGCTCTGCACAGGGACCAGAGCCCGTGCCTCCCGGAACGCGATGCACGCCAAGGCCTCCACGCACTGGGCTCAAGTAGGAAGTCAAACTAGTCAGTGCTTTGGTGAGAATGAGTGAAGAAAGAGGGCATAAGAAGAATAAGAAAGGGCCGATGGAATGTATTGTCCAAGAGCTCTTTTCTAAAGGTATTGTGGTTTGCTTCAAATTATGGAATAAATCCCACCAGTAAACCTTTAGATTACACAAGAATGTTAAGCTAAAATTCCAGTGTTCGTACTTGAAAAGTACTTGTCTTTAGAAAGTCACATTCAGGGGGCTCTACTTCTCTCCTAACTAGTGTGAGCATAGAAAAAATAGCCATAGATAACGTTTAAGGAATAACTGTATCTTAAAGGTCAAATGTATAGATATAACGATATTTATCTGACCTTCATTCTGTTTTACATTAAAGTTGATTAAAATAATTTAATGAGTTAATATCTGTGAAGCTCTTAATACTGATTGGCACTTGGCATGAACAGAGAAGTGTTTAGTGAATTTACTATAGAGTTGTGACTGAGACTAGTGCTTTAGACACAAGTATATGATATTATTCTTGGATATTTAACTGGCTTTATATGTTTATTTTCAAAAATATTCCTTAAAATTAAATTTTCAATGTAATAGCAAAATGCTATAGAAATATAGTCATTAATTTCACTAGAGGAGACTGGAGAGATCTGTATAGGAGCGTATGTTTGATACTGACCTTAAAATTGGGGAGGATTTGATAGACGGATGGAGGGAGATATGGACACAACAAACAGAAGCAGAGAGACCACGAAATCGGAATGAATTGGGGGCTCCACGTGTGCATACAGGCCTGACAATGACCTGGGGGAGGGGAACATAGCTGGACAGAAGATTGACAAGCAGGCTGGGGCTGGAAGACTCTGAAATCTGAGAAGGTCCTGAATCCAGTGCAGTGAATAGCTTTCCTTCGTGTTCTACTCTGTTGTTCTGAGATATCTGTGAGGCGTGATCAACAAATACAGTGAATGAATATTATATTTAACTTTAAAAGATGCATTGCTGATGAACTCTTCTCAAAATGCTCCCCTCACTTTGAACACTCTTATCCCTCGTTCTTGGCACTTTCTGAAGTGGTTCCGCAAGTCCTGTTTTATGAGTATCTTTAGTTGTGTGATCATGGCTGTCTCGATGTCCTGAATCCATTTATAACATTGACCACTCATGGTCATTTTGACTTTAAAGAAGAGCCGGGAGTGACGCTGTGCTAGAACTGGTGAATAAGGTGGAGACTGAGTGGTTTTTGTGAGCCCACCTTTCTGTTCAATGGCACTTAGTGGCAGCAGCCACCATATTTTAAGTCACACTTGGACACTTCCAAAAGAGGACTCCAGAGCTGCTTCAGAGAGTGGCAGGAACAATGGGATGAGTGTATTGGAAGTGAGGGGAAGCATTCTGAGAGGGATACATGTGCGTGTATCTTTTACTGTGATACTTTTAAAATTTAACCCTTTACCATGTACTTGATAGCCTCCTGTACACACTCGATGAAATACAGGCTGTTCAATGCCTGTCCCAGAGCACCTGACTCTGTAGATCTGGGGTGATTGGGGAAAGTGCATTTCTAATGTTCTCAGTGATGCTGGTGGTGCTGGTCCACTTTGGACACTGCCCTGGGCAACTGAAATCCATGGAAAGCTGAGCAGCAGACTAGCAATGAAATGCTAGTGAAATGATCAGGACTGAAAAGATGCCCATCGGCAGAGGAGAGGCTGGCAGGCTGGGAGGCCAGCTGGGGGTTGTGCGTATTTCACCTGTGAAGTGATCAGAGCATATGGGGCGGGAACTGGAAGGCCACACAGATTCTTTATCTGTTTTAGGGCTCATGGGATAGAGAGGGTGACCCTGCTCTGAATATATTTGACATTTTCTTTGGGTCACCAGATTCAGTACATAAAAATATAGCTGGTCAGTGAAATTTGAACCTTGGTTAAAGAAAAGAACCTTGTCTCAAATAAAAAATACATAAAAATAAATAAATAAATGCTGGAGATGTAGGTCAATGCAGAGCCTCTGAACTCAGTCCGCAGCCACACACACACACACACACGCGCATTGGAAATTCAAATTTAGCTGGCCATCCTCCCTCAACCTCACACTGAACTGAATTCATCCATCCTTTGTGAAAGTGTGTATGGGAGCTTTTACATGTTATTATTATTTATTTCAGATTTCGATGAATGCCACTCTAACCCCTGTCGGAATGGAGCAACCTGTGTTGATGGTTTTAATACGTTTCGGTGTCTCTGCCTTCCAAGCTACATTGGTGCACTTTGTGAGCAAGGTAAGAGCTGTTGTAGGGTTTCGGTGATGAACACTGATGATGTTTCCCCAAATGTTGGCCTCCCTGCATTTTCTTCTTTGTGGAGGAAAGTCACGCTTTCTTATATGTGATACGCACCTGAGCCATGGCTCAGGTTTTTGTGTTGCTGGTTGATTAGAACTGGAGACAGGCCCGCAGTGCTGAACTGGAGGACATACTCAGCAGAAGGAATACGGTTATATGTATGCTTTCTGGGGATAAAGGAGGCACTGACTTAATGTGGCCTGGGGACCGAGGAATATTAGATTCAGTGTGAGACCCCTGCATTTTCTCCCTCAAAGCAGGCGAGACTCAGGCTGATTTCTGGTAGTCAGTCATATCCAGAGAATGAGCTGACACAGCTGTTAACATACATTAGCCCTGGCGGCACGTACTACATTAAAGATGTTATGAGTTTGCTTGCTGGAAAATTTTCCTTCTAACGAAGCATCTGCTTTTTTTCTGAATAAAGAAAGGACCCAGAATCTCATGATTCCTGTACCTTGCATTTTATGGCCAACTGAAGAGTATGTTTTAGGTCGTTAATGGCAACATTTCTTAGTCCACCAATCAGAGACAGATGGCGTGCTCAGCATCCCTGGTTTTGGAAGGTCAATTTCCTCTGCTTAAAGTCATACAGTGGTTTGGCTTTGACAAGAGTGCTCAGTGCCAGACTTCCGTCCTACCAGACAAAATGAAAACGTGTTAGACACTCAGACACATTGGCCAGGCCCCACATTCAGCTTTGTGGTGTTAACCCAGACGTCACTACAATTAAAACCAAAGCTAAAGGCAGCTTGTACCAAATTACTGTTACAAAGCCAAGGGCAATGGCTGAGCTCTGGGGTTTTTCTTTTTTTAGGGGACAGGGTGGATCTTTTTGTTCTAGAAATTTAAATCTGAAAATAGATCGAGCACAATTCTCTTTTTAAATTGAAAAGTAAGAAAGATAAATCATTTCTTGAAGAAGACTAAGGGATTAAACACTAGAAGCATTCAAACATGTTAAAATAAATCTGGCTTCCCTTAGTTTTGAGTACAAGGAGGAACCCCCAAATTCAATTGTCCAGCAACTATGTATGCAGCACCCACTGTTTTCAGACAGTGAGCCGTGTATGGGATACTGACCTCTGACTAGGAAAATCCCTGATCTCGGTCACTTAGTGTAACTCTTGGTGGAGAATAAAAAGGAGCCTATTTGTTGGCTAGTTTATAGTTTATCAGGTGCTTCCTGCCACGGTGTTTCATTTGGTTGATGTGACTGTTCTTTGCATTCGATGTGTTACAAGTAGAGGTTCAGAGAAGAAAAGCACTCAAGATTTACAAAGCCAATGAATTACAGAATGGGAAAAACAAGCTTAAAGGATTAACTCTTAAGCCAGAATTTTTCTCAGTGCCTTCACACTTCTAAAGTACTTCTCCAAGATATAGCACTCGTATTTGAGTCTGTTTAATGGATTGCATGGTAACAGATTCTTGGAAGGGATTTTGAGGCCAGTTAATTGTTCCCTCTCTTTAAAAAAGAATATTGAACAGAAACAATTTTTAGTTGTTTCTTCCTTTTCTGTTGCACCTAAATTTCAGGTACATTCTATTCTATCTGCAAGCCAGTCCAGCTTTCATGCACTTTATTTGCTGAGGACCATCTATCCCTGTCTATTTGCCCGATACAGCTGCCATCCTGTGATTTATTGCCAGGATGCTGAAAGATGTCTTTTTTCTCTCCTTTTCAGGTTGCCCAAGAAGACATGTTTTCTTTTTTAACAGCAGCACTGTTGTCTAAACACTTTTCTATCCAAAGTTCTGTCATGACTGTGTCATTATTTCTGCAGCTGACCTCTTCTCTCTGCAATAGTAACTTTTTAAGTCTCAATAACTCAGAAATAGAGGGACATATTCTGGCAGACTAGTAACAGATATAAAATCTCAAAGGGGCTCTTGGACTAGTACAGAAACATCTCTGCTTATCCGGATTCCTGTCCAAAGTCGCTGGTGCAGCTTACTAGGGTGGAGGGTCGTAGGGTCCACAGTGTCTTAAGGCTTGACAGCTGTATATCAGAGGTTTGGGAAAGATCACCTGAAAACAAAAAAAGATAGCTTTTCAGGGCAGTTGTTTAACAGTGGTATCTTAGCTTCTGTGGTCATGCATAGTAATCTCACACAGTCTAAATGTGAGACTTTGTATTTTAGCCTGTGCACTCAAGGAGTTTTAAAGCATAAGGTATCTGTCCATAACATTGAATGACATTTAGGAAAAGAGTATCATCAGAAAGAGTTGTCTTGCAATCAGTACAGTGAGATTCACATTGTTTTCAGGGGAATTTGGAAAAATCACAAATGCTGAGATTTCCTATTGGAATAGTATCCTGGGAGATGCTCCTGCCCATGTAAATCCTTCATTACATGAACAACAAAAGCTGTGTGGATCAGTGCGGATGTTTGGCTTTTAAAAAATACCAAAAGCCATGTGTGGTATTTACACATATATTTTAATCATTAGGAAACTGGTTTAAATAGCATAGCTGAGCGATGGCGAACCTTTTGGAGACCAAGTGCTCAAACTGAACCCAAAACCCACTTAATTATTGCAAAGTGCCAACACTGCAATTAAACCCGAATGCTGAAGTTTTAGCTTAGAAAAACCAGCTCACACATTATCATCTTTAGTCTTAAAAGAAAAACGTGTGCCATAGGTTCACCACCACTGGTATAGATAAATAAGTTTTTGCAGTGTGGTTTTAATAGAAACTGCTCCTTGGTTTTTATTCTTTTAGGAATATATACATCTGTGAACAGAGAAAGGCATTTGTCTTAGTCTGTACAGTGCTGTAACAAAATACCTGGCACTGGCTACTACACAAAGAAAAGAGGTCTATTTAGCTTCCAGGTTGGAGGGACATCTGAGATGGGGTGTCCCCATTGGTTCTGTCCCTGCTGAGGGCCTTATTGATACAATAGCAGATCAGGAAGCAGCCTCTGCAGAAGGGAGAGGTTAGATAGCAAGACAGAGAATCAGAGCCCTTGGGGGTCTAGCTTACTCTTTGGAAAACACTCATTCTAGTCCTAACTAATGCACCCTTCCCAGACCCAGCCCAGGAGACAACCTGAGCCTGTCGTGAAGGTGGAGCCCTAAGACCTAACTACCTTCCACGAGGCCACAGCTCTACATATGCTACCACCCCTTGCTCCTGTAACATTGGAGACCACGCGTGCAGCCCAGGAACCTTTGGGAGAACGAATGACATCCAAGTGACAGCAGCATTGTAGCAATGACATGCATCTAAATTGTATGAGTTCTTTTGCCAAAAGATAAAAAAATGCTTAATGATAATCTGTTTTAATGACAAAAGACAAAAAAAAACCCAAACTAAAATCATTCAGGTTAATAGGCGATAAGAAGGAGTGTAGAGAAGACTTTTTCTGATGTATTGTTAAAGAATTAAAGACCCTCTAGATTCTCTTCTTCTCTCTATGGATTGAGCCCAGGGTCTGAAGCTTGCTGGGCAAGCTTTCTGACACTGTGCTTCATCCCCAGCCCCTAGAATTTTAAACTGTGCATCTTAAAATAAACGATAATTTCCAGGGTTAAGGGAAAGTATGGTATTACAATACCACAGTATTGACTTTGGCAGCAAAAGTGTTCTAAAATTTATTTCCAACTCTCATTCCTTATAAAGCAAGCCCATCAAATATGAAGATCTGTTTTCTCCCCTTCCCACCTCACTTTGAATTCTTCTACATGACCTCCGCCAGTGAAAATTACTACCCACAGGACCAAAATGTGCTTCACTTTGGATACCAAGTGCTACTTTTGTACAATCATCTGGCTGTGTCCTGATCCTTTCCCGAGAGATTTGGTGATCTCTAAACAACACTTTAATAAAACTCAAAACTTCCAGTGCACGTGATTCAAAATGGTTAGTCAGCAGGCTGTAACTAAACAGCAGGCTCAAGAGACTAAACTGAAGTGAAGATTGCTCTCAGAGATAAGCTGTGCCTTCGGTCTGAATGGTCTGAATCACTGAATCCAGGATGAAAAAAGAAACCACTCTCACGTATACTCCTACAACTGTAGAAAGAAAGGCATAAACACTACAGAAAGGGAATACTAGAGCACAAAGCAGGAGGCGATGTCTGTTTCAACATGGCCACCAAAATCAACATCTGAAACATTTAATGGAGTCGAGTTTGCTTTCTTTATCAATCAGTAAACTCTCACAGGAGGAGACATGCTTGTTAGACCAAAGGAGCCGGGGATTTAGCTCAGTGGTGCCGGCGCCTGCCTCGCAAGTGCAAGGTCCCGAGTTCTATCCCCAGTACCAAAAAAAACCCAAAAACACCCCGTGTAGACCAAGGGAAAGGTTTCCTTGGTGTCTGAAATTCTATAAACTCTGCAGTTTTGGTAGTTTTTGTACGTAACTCTTTCAGTATATTTGTGAGCTATATTTGGTGAAAGTCAGAGTCATTTACACTGATCATTATTTAATATCTGTGAGCAAGTGAATTTGAGGGAAAATTGCCAATAAGAATTTCTTGAGAATAGCACCAGAGGAAGTGTAGCTGAGGATTATGGCAAGCAGAAAATGTAGAAATATTTGAAAATATTTTCATTGCACTAGGATACCAGTTATGGTATGCTTTTTGCAAATAAACACACACACACAGAGGATGTACTTAAAATATGTGGTAAATTTTAAATTAAAAAAATTATTACAGTAGGACTGGGATGTAGCTCAGTGGCACCACGCCTTCCTGGCAAGCACAAGGCCCTGAGTTCAATTCCTGGTACTGGAAAAAATTATTATAGTGAAAGACACATTTCCATTAATCTCACTTAAAATCTTCCCCTTGACTTCACGCTCACTCACCCCATCCTTCTTGCTGCTTTCTACAGCAGCTCTGGAGTCTTGTTTTGAGTGTGTTTAGTTGTGCTGTCCTGGCTGCCTTGGAGTCCTGAATGGATTCAAAATACTTACTTCTCATTAGTTTGACTTTGGGGAAGAGCCAGAAGGCACACGGTGCCAGATCGGATGAAGAGGGAGGAAGAGGACACAGCGTCTTGTTTTTACAACTCACCTTTCCATCGAATGTCACACAGCAACGACATTCACTGTATTTTTCTGGTACTGGGGATCGAACTCAGGACCTTTGGCTTGTGAGGCAGGCGGCAGAACCACTGAGCTAAATCCCCAGCCCTTACTGTATTTTTTTAAATCGTACCTTGTAAAGACACTCTGGAAAGAGGGCTTCCAGAGCTGCTTCAGAAAGTGGCCAAACAGTAAGCCAAGTGTGTTCGAAGCTGTGGGGAATGCTTTGCGGGGATTAGTGGCGATGTGTCTCTTACTGTAATCAATTTTTAAAATGCAAGCATCCACCCTGTATGTTGGTGTCAGCTCCTGTGTGTGATTTGGAAGGGACAGTAGTGACTTGCAGAACTTGGTGTTGCTTCATTTTTAATAAGAGCTTTTGCATTTGCTCCGGGAGTTCCCTGTATATAATATGTGTGGGGCGGGGAGGACGACAACACACATTTCAGCTGTTTCCTCAGAGCTGCCTACTCAGACTTCTTCCCTCTGTAAATCCTGTGTGACCAGAGGACCAGAGCCTGTGGCCGGCTGGCTGTCTCTCTGGTAGATGGGAAAGGACCATTTCCAGAGCCCGTGAAGTCATTATGCAAATAGAGGGCTCCTAATCCTGCTAGAGGAATTCTTCTCTTATCACTGTTGTCCTGGAAAGTTTCCCAAGTCCCTATGCAGCCCTGCAGCCCAGGGTTCTGCCCAGCCCAGCCTCGCTTCCAGTCCCCTCCCTTGCCCACTGGCTTGAATCAAGGATACTGCGGTGAGATGCAGCCCTTTCGTGTGGTCCAGGGACGTACAACCACTGACTTCATGGGGACCCACTGGGCTCACTTTATGGTGATCACTGTGTCATTGTGACCAACTTTTCTGAGTCAGGGGCTTTGGGGACTTTGCGGAGATGTGGGCTTGAGTGTTCTGTCTGCACCTGGACTGAGGGGCCAGCTTTGATGGATGTAGGTGAATTGTATCCACTCACACCTGTTTCTTCCCAGATACGGAGACCTGTGACTATGGCTGGCACAAATTCCAGGGCCAGTGCTACAAATACTTCGCCCACCGACGCACATGGGATGCGGCTGAGAGGGAGTGTCGCCTGCAGGGTGCACATCTCACCAGCATCCTGTCACAGGAAGAGCAGATGTTTGTGAATCGTGAGTGTCCCACACCTCACTCTTCCTCACCACATTTTAGCTTTCTCTGAACCAACAGAAAAGCAGTGGCTTTCTCAGTCTTGATTCAGTGGATTAGACCCCTCGTCTGTGAACTAGCTAACCCCGGTCCCCACGTGGGTTGGGAAACTGTCCACTCTAATGTAGGAAGGCGTCACGTGGTCTGCCAGAAGTAATCAGCGGAACACTTGGCGAGGAACTGAATCGTAAGAAATTGCTCTTTGATCGTTTTTTATTTTAATTTAGAAAAATGGCCTTTTCTTGCAGCTCAATAAGATTCCTCCTACCATGGTTACTTTTCATGGTGTCGGTTTTGAATATTTGCATGTGTTGGCTAAAACTAAAGATAAAATTAAGGAGGAAGTTCTTTTTTGTCCAGCTAATTACAGTTGAAGTGTGAATAGCATCCTAATCTTATATTCTGGTTCTCATCCAAGTTTCTGTTTTAGACAATAGAAAGTAAGTTACTTGTTAGGAACAGAAATAAATGGAGATAAAAAGCTAATGCAACCAAACAGCGGAGTTGCTTAATAACTTCTTACACACAGCAAAGAGGAGGGCTGCTGGGTTTTTACACAGAGAATTTATAGGACCATTTTGCTCAGGAAGCACTGTTTAATGTTCTATGAAATATGTTCCCATAATGCTGGCTATCTTTTTTAAGTTTGTTAATTTATAATATTTAAAGGTATGATCTTTTTCCCAGTTTCTCATCTCATGATGGAAAGAAATATTTTGTTTGGTTTTGGTTTTGGTTTTTGGTACCGGGGATTGAACTCAGGACCTTGCGCTTTCGTGGCAGGCAGCAGAACCACTGAGCTAAATCCCCGCCCAGAAAGAAATATTTTTAAGGATAGTTTTTCAAAGTTTTCTGGCCTCAGTGTTCACTGTTTGAAGTACTATGGGAAGAAACACACAGTTTCCAAAGTGAGGGGAGAGTGGGCAGCTCCTGATGTCAGTACCTTTTATTGAATCACTGAATGTTTGCCAGTGACATAGATTAACAAGAACAAAATAAGTAAATGGAAAAGTGCCATTATGAGTGAATATGGGAAATATTCAATTATAGTGAATGGGTAGAGAAATTATCATCTATGCCTGATATTCTGATGTTCCAGTGTTTGAAAATTAGCCTTTTACTTCAAAGCACATGGGGCAGAAGAACACAAGATAGACTAGGAGCATGTTTTTGTTAATAAGCAACTAGATAAAAATCCAGTAAGAAAAGAAGATGCATGATTCACCCTGATAATACCCTTGTCTGGTATATTTTCACTGATGTGAGGGAGAGGTAGTAAACATATCCGCATTTTTTCTCATCCCGTAGGTGTGGGCCATGACTATCAGTGGATAGGCCTGAACGACAAGATGTTTGAGCATGACTTCCGATGGACTGATGGCAGCACACTGGTAAGACGGTGATGGAAAGGACGCAGTTCTGGGATCTTGGTACTGCCTGCTCTTTGCATTTGACAGAGGGTACATTAGCCTGGAACAACTTAAATGATGGGGTCAAGTTCACTGTCTGCAACAGGAGAGGGTTACAGAAATATCGCAAAGGAACTGATCCAACCACTAATGTCCTCTCTCACAGCTGTTGTCTCTTTGAAAGAAGAGTGTAGCCAATTTCTACTGAAGAGGAAAACCAGATGATCAGAACTGTTTTGTGTCTGTCTTTCAGATAGTTATCTTTGCTTTTTGTAGCTTCAAAGCAAAATGGAAATGAATACATGTAAAGAAGGGCCTTTAAAAATACCTTAGAGTCACCTGCAGTTGGATCTTGGAGTAGTAGGTAAAGCTGCTTGGAATCACTTACAGTAGAAACAAACGGGTCTCATGCTTTAGAGATACTCTAGGTGTGATTGGGCACACTGGTGGTGCCCAGTGCTGGCTGTCCATTAGAATGGCCAGAGAGACTAATTCAAACTTTGCTTATACTTATTATGGCAAAACTTCCAGCAGCTGAATTTCCTGAGTGTCCCCAGGTGATTCTTAAATGCAGGCAACATCGGGATCCACAATCTTGGACAAGATGGCAAGTGTGAATCAGATTCTAAATTAGATGAGCAAGATCAAACATAATTTGTAAGTTCTTTTTGTGTGTGAATTACTTAGGTCTCTACATCCATTAGCTCCCACTCATCAGGATTTAATGGTTTGGCGAGGGGTAATGTTCATTTTCAAACAGAAGCCAAAGTGATCTCTGCCTTTGGAAGTTGTGCCTTGCTCAGGTAGTCATCCTTGTGCACATGGGGAGGCAGCACTCCGTTCACATATGACCAGGGGCCATGGAATGCATGGACATCACCTGCTTTCCAGGTAAAGGAAGGGAAGGCCAGTTAGATTGAGCTCTGTGTCTAGGGTCACAAAGCTATTAACTGATGAAGCCAGCCTCTGAACGTAGGCCTACCTGCACAGCCATAGACTCCTCACCCTGGTTCCTCCGTGTCTTTAAATACAGAATCACTTACTCCTCTTTTGATTTGAGCAACTGAAAATATATCACTAGATTTTACCTGTCACTGGATTTCATCTATCATTGCTGGTTCTCTCTCTCTCTCTCTCTCTCTCTCTCTCTCTCTCTGTCATTCCTGTGTTCAATCCACACTTCTTGTCATTCAAGTTTTGTAAGGAATTTCTTGGAAAGATGGAGAAAAAGTAGGAAAAATATATTATCTGTAAAGTATGTTTCCAGTAAGATAACAGACACCACAGCTTCATGATGGTCATCCCATTTCCTCTAATTGTCCTTGCTAGCTGGCGTATCAGCAATACTTACACTTGCATATTTTCATTTTACTTTACCTGAGGAGCATAATATGGCCAGTTAGATTGATAGTGGTTGGTATATCATCAATCCTTTAATTTAATAATTCTTTCAATTTTATTTTATTTACTTTTTCGAATTTAAGTCTATATGTGAAAATGCAAGGAAAAGAATTCTTTGTGTACCTTCCAATGAAAACTTTTATAATTTTTTATTGTATCTATTATCTAGCATAGACATTGAGCGAGTTTTCCATTGTTGAATTCTTGTGGAATAAATAGGTTTCTGAGATACTCACTAGTCAGTCTACCTCCCACATTATTTTCTTATAAATAGGTCAGGTCCTTTTGAGCTCCCATCCCTAGTACAGAAACTGGAATGCCCAAAGCTCAAGTTCTGCTTGGTCTTGCAGGTCTGTGTCACAACTTAACTCCAAAAGTACCTATTGGCTGCATTTCCACATGTTCCAGCCCGAGCCCAGTGCAGCTGCATCTGGCCGGTTGGAGTACATGAAAAGTCTCATTCGCTACACAATGACCAGGCTAAGCCAAATTTCAGTCTGTTTCTCATCTGTTGTTAGTTATCCAGAATTGGTTTGTATGTTTTCATCCTTAGCACATGTGTGTTGCTAGATGTTTATTCTGATCTCTGCATTAGCGGTTCACCTCTTCAAAGAGGGCCATTTTCCCTGCTTTTTATTTCTCACATTGCCTAGGATAAAGCCTTACCCCTTAGCCCTGTGAGCTTGGTTAAGGGGACTGAATATTGGCTGCTACCTGGTAGCCAGGAGGGTGTCTCCTAGCATCTCAGGGAAGGTGTCTCCTCCACCATGTCCGTACAGGCACGCTGGACACAAAAGTTGTTAATTCACCTTGTGAAAGGAAGGCAGGTCAACTATCTTTGGTTTGTGTTGATCAGTTTTTAATGTAGGCACAGAAATATGGCCCAAAAAAGTTTAATTACCATTTCCGGAGTCTGGACTGGGCCTAAATCTGGTAAAGGAGCAGGCATGAGCTTTGCACTTTATCTAAAGAGAAATATTGATCTTCTTGTGAATTTGCAGCAAGAGGTAACACAATGCAGGCTTTGATGGAAATCTAGGATTGAGTGTGCACCCAGTGAGAGAGAACTTCAGTGGCAGGAAGGCCGCAGGTCCATACATAAACAAGCAAAGGCATCGAGAAAGGGCACACGCGCTTCCAGAGGAGCTCAGCCCGGCTTCTTCTTCATTCACGCTATGTAAAGTGAGTGTGCTAAGCTAAGGAGTGACCCTTCACTCTGAGCGTTTGGGAGCAGGAGAAACCATCTGCCTCCCAGCCAGTCTCTGCCCATCTGACTGATCTCTGGCCCACTCTCCTGCCTTTGAGCCTGCCCTTTTCCTTGTCCTTTCCTTTCGGAGATGGCCTCCCTGTCCCTGAAACCGTTTGTAATGTGTTCCACAGTCTCTGTCCCTGAACAGGTTCCATATGTGCACCAGCCTTTGACTAAAATACTTCTCCTTTGTTTCTCTGTTTACTCTGCGTTTCTTGCGTTTGAGCATATTCCTGATAGCTGTTCAGGCCTTCACTGGGGCCAGCAGGATCTGCTTTCACGTGGAGATGTGTTAACTTGACTGTGTGCCATGTTAAGGGTCTTGTTTATGTTTCAGAGTGATTTCTCTCCTCTTCCACACACCCTCTCTCTTCACTTTTTGTTTGAAAGATTTATTAGAGCTTATCCATGTTGGGAAGTAGAACAGTATTCAAACCAAAAAGAACTTCTTATATTTACCTTACTCTTGCACTCGATATTCAGCCTTACAATTCAGGAAAAACAAACAAGTTTATGTTAGGTCTCCATTTCAATGATTTCTTTTATTGAAATAATTAAACATTAGTTCCAATAAGCTTGCAATATAATTGTGTCATATTTAACATGATTATGTTTTATATCTGGACTAATTCAATTCAGATGTTTATACTAAATCAGTGATGTTGTTTGGCCAAGTCATCTAAATTGCCTTATTCTTTAGATTGTTTTTGATTCATTCCACATTATTGGCTTTTACAATTGGATGTTGATATAATTGATAAAATGTCAAATTTCTGTTTCTGTTATTTTTTTTAAATCTCTCATTGTTTATTTGGGGTGTTTGCCGAATCAGTTTTACAGAAATGCACTCATGGATAAAATTGTGCCAAGCTTTATCCTTGTGGTGTATGTTTAGCTTGGTTTTGCTTAACACATTTCAGTTTTCACTCTGTCACTGGTTTCCCCCAGCTGGTTATTCTTTAACTCGACTATTGATACTAACAGCAAAACACACCTATAGCTTTAGGGGGAACGCACACATTTCACTTGAGATTGCTTCTCTTCTCCTCAGGTTATGTCTTTAGAGGCAGTAAGTTAACCCACTCAAGTTTAACACATTAAAGCTGGAGAACTCAAGGAAGCTTTTCTTATCTAGCATCCATACTGTCAGCTGACTCTTAAGTTGTCCCTCTGACCAATTGCTAAATGAGTGGCTTGTCCAGGGCGTTTTCCCTCCAGTGATTCCTAGAACCAGTGACCCTCGCCTCCCTGGACTATGAACTCTTGTTGCCCGCTGCTTAAAATTCTCGCATGTTTTCCTGCTGCTCTTGGTATAAAATTCTAGCTATTAGAATGGCAGACCAAGCCTATCAACTCCATGGTATTTTATGAGCTAGTGCATCTTAAAGGAATCGTGTTTCTGGAATAAGTCATGGCCTTTTGCTCTTGTGGGGCTTTGCCTTTCCTTGCTGTAGGGCTAGGCGTGTTCTCACCTCTTTTCTGAATATTCAGATACCCTGCATAGCCAAGAGTCCCCTTCCTCCAGGAGGCCTTCTTACCAGGCCTGGGGCTCTCCTTCTGTGCCCCTTTGTCCTCTTCCCATGCCAGCCCAGAGCCCTGTGCTGTTAGCTTCTGGACTCCCAGCCTTCGGAGGCAGGACTCACCTTCCATCTCTGTCTTTCACAACCCAACAGGGTAGTTGTTGTAAAATAGATGCCTCATCAGTACTTTTTAATGATCCAGTGATAATCACCATACACTCGTCACTCACTTATCTTTTGAATCCTGCAATGACCACATTAAGACTTTGGGTTCCACCTTTTCGTGACACTTCTTGTTTATCCACATTAAACACTCTGTTTACAATTGCACCAGTAGGAGAAATATCTGCACATAGTTGGATTTTCAAGAATGGAAAAAAAGAAAAATGTGTTCTTCGAAAATAAAAGTCTATACAAAAGGTAGTGGCCCATAGAACAACAGGTCTTTCTACTGGAAATGACCACCATTGTGTCCATGGTTGTCCTAGGAATTCTTGTGTAATAAACTTGGGAAGTTAAAGAAGGGAGAGTACACTTTGAACCTCTGCCATCCATGCCTCTCTGAGTGATATCAGAGCACATTTTCCATGAAACTTAAGGAAAACAACAATTTTTGGATAATTTTTTTCCTCAAATAGGCACTGTTTAGCCGATGTATTTTCTATAGAAAAATGCCTTTGAAAAATGTTATTTATATCTAAAATGTAGTTAAACAAGCAGAAGGAAATAATCACTCTTCAGTGTTATCAGCTCATTTCACATTTATGGATGCTTGGCCAAGAATGCTTCGACTGCTTACAGTTGGATAGAGC